ACATTCAGTCCTCTGTGATTCTAACAGTTCGGATGGTGCGAAGTGGAATCAGGAGACTTCTATAATGACTTTGGCTTCTAAGAAGTAGAAGACTACGAAGTTCCGTAGTGCAGAAGGAGCCAATGGGACCCAATGCGTTTCTGCAGAGTGAGGCTCGCAATTCCTTCCGGGTGTACCCCTAATCGGACATTGGCTTTGTTCCACGAATGACATGTGAAACATGTGTATCTAAAAATGGTAATTAAACTGCCAAATTATATATTCAAATTACACATTCTAAAGGAGATGGTGTGGTGACAAGAGGGGCCGCTACCGCGCGCATGGTCCCTGGATCAAATCCCAGGTCAAACCCAGCGTACGTCAGCCAAATTTCTACAGATGATTAGTTGTTGCTAGGAGCGATAATTACTATGCAAAACACATCGATAACTCAGTTTCAAAAAAGTCGTAGTCTGAAGGGTTATTTAGCGCCTCCAGCGAGGCAATCCCTACCTATCCAGGCTCCTTCGTAACACTAACGCTCATTGTCAGGTGCAAACGATAGGACCTGAGGATTGGGACCTCTTATTCGCCCGTTGATTACCTATTATGCGACTCGCATCGGTGCCGCTTTCTTCAACACTAACACTTCCTGTGCTAAACGGCTAAAGGCTTAACCGTCGAGGGAGTGGGCGTGCGTGCTGCGGCGCCGGGTGCGAGGACGCCCATGCTAGGTTGCTGAGGTATATCCTGAGCTGCGAATTGTGTGTTGGTCTGCACCTTTGAGAGGTCCGCCTGTATCTCCATTGGGTAGGTTTCCGCTTCTCCGGCCGGTGAAACTCCAGTTCGGGTGGGGCCACTCCATTGTGCTCCAATAGAGAGGATAAGGATAAGAGTTTCATGACACGTAATCGATTCATTTAAAATTACTTCTGATAAGGACCGGTGTAGTGTGTGGAAGTACTCCTAAGGTGCTTTCAGATTTCGGCCTGCTGTGGTCCAAGGAAATGGTCCTGAACTAGGGTATGGACATCCTTTCCTAGGCGCAAGGGTGTAGGAGCCCCAGGGTGGACGATCACATGCCATAAATTGCCTAGGATGTGAGCAGGATGTGCGTATAACAGCCCCACCCCCTCCCCGAGCCGAAGTTTCACCTCTTCAGTCTTCAAGTAAACAGTGAAGCCACTCTGAAAAACAGACTGCGCGTCGGCAAGTGGGGGACGTGTTGTCCCCCAGGAGGCCCATCGCGCGGCGAAGGAAGAGACGCAGACGCGGCAAAGGACGAGTCGCAGCGCATACTGTAGCGGTTAGGCGTCAGGTTAAATAGAGTGTACCATACTACGTCTCATATCGCACAGCACGCGCTGCGACTCGTCCTTTGCCGCATCTGCGTCTCTTCCTTCGCCGCGCGACGGGCCTCTTGGGGGACACCCGAGTTCGTACATCTCTCAACGCAGACAGGTAGTCTGAAGAGAGCATTCACTCATAATGCTGTTGGAGTGCGTCATTTTCAGCATATTTTCCAGTTTCATTCATTTCAGGGGAGTGAACTTTGGAGCAGACAATTGGCTTGTGTTTAAAAGAGTTGCAGTTGATCAAGTGACGACAGGGTTCTCCGACACGACCTCTGATCCACTGCAAAATGGGATGACAAAGACTAGTGAGGTAAGTAGTAGAGACCACGCCATTATATGACACAAAGCCAACTGGAACCCAGGGTCAACCCTTCGTTGGACCGAGTACGACGATACGGGTCGTGCTTGGGCTTTCGAGTAGTGGGAGCCTCATTTTCGTTTTTTTTGTGTTAATGATGGTGGCACGGTGGGTCTATTTGAAATTTTCAGGGGGTCGTGAAGGTGGAACATAGGGGGGGGGTCGTGGTACAGTCAAAGGGAGAGGGTGTTTCGTGATTCTGGCGAGAACTCTAGGAAGCATAGTGAATGAAAGCATTCGCTGCTTCTTCAGACTTCCCTAATCCTCACCCGAAGTGATCCAATAAGAGAGTTTGTTCATTGCAGGTTATCCCGAATCTCTACAGTGACGAAAACTGCCTAGCGCGACTTGGTTGGAACAAATTGATGACCGTCATTGTGCGAGAAATGAAGAGAGGTGTGAGCGCCAAAACTGATTAATAAAGGAAAGGAATTATCGAACGTAATTTCAGGTTTCCTGGAGGAGGCGATGCGTAACTGCAAAGAAGAGGATAACAACGTTCTGTTCAGTGGTTAGGCCAAAATGAGCCAAAATGCGGGGGTCGTGTACATTCTTGGTTAACACGAAGATATGCTGTTCACTATAATTTGATGTTCTGATCGTTTGCTGTTGAGTCAGAAATCGATTTTCTTTGAGAAATAGTTCGCGTTAAACATTTGCAGTTTTCTCCGCGCTGTAGGAGAGGCAGTGCTCTTGGTTCATGTGAATACAGCGAAATACCTCGTTTTGTGAAAGAACCTTAGAAACGTCTGGAGTCCAAAGTGGCTTCTAGGCGATTCTTGCTGATTGTGAGTAGGACGAGCCTTCAAATGCAATTTCAGGACATGCCCCATCGTTGATGTTATATTTAACTGGGTTTTCCAGAAAGTCGTGCGGCACCTAGTAGGAGATTTTTGGAATTTTTGGAATTCATTTCTACTGGATCGGACATTCATTCACCAAGATTATCCATTAGAATACAGCATACCTGCCCATTG